CTTTCTCCTTTTCGGAAGTTTCTCCTCCGGCTTTTCTCCTCCATTTCTTCTCCCATATTCTTTTTTCATTTTTAATTTCTTCTCTTTCTCCTTTTTGGAAGTTACTCCTCGGTTTCTGATCCTCGGTTTCTTCTTCTTCATTTGTGTTTTCTCATTCTTCTTCATTTTTTCTCCTTCCTAACAGTGTTAAATATTGATAATATGTAAAAATATGTACGCCCGCGCCCAAATATATATATATGTAAGATTAACTTATCCCAGCATCATGTCCTACATTTATTAAAACCGATGTGTCACTTTGTCTGTATCATGTCATATCCATGTCGCGTATCCGTGCTTCCTAGTGGGTAATAGCTTAGAATTCTTTTATTGGTAGCATGGTTCTGTTCATTCATGTCTTCTATATTCCCCCAACTTTTTAAGCGAACCAGTAATTTGTATTGTAGTGAAAAATATTAAAGGAAGTTATAATGAGTTACAAAATTATATCATTGATATACCATTTTCGTATGATTGATGAAGTATATCATTTATATACTTAATATAAAGTATAGTATATACCATTTTTGTATCATTGACGAAGTATATCACTGATGTACCCAATAAAAGGTACATAACTAATATATGTATGTTATTGATATATGAATTCTGACATTTGTGTCATCTTTGCAAAATATTTTATCATGCSACAAGTTTGCCATTAKTTAGGCAAGATTTGCTATTATTGCAAAAACTCAAGAGTATTTAAATCTAAAACTGTGAAGCAGTGAATATCTCCATTATTTTCATTAGTCTTACGGTGGATATTATGGACACAGGCTGCCAAAGAAGCGAGATATGACAAGGAAGCTGTGACGAAATTTTTTCGCTCGGTCAGTTTTGTTATTCCATATTATCTTGTTGGCTGTTCTTCTTTTAACTGTAACTGATAGCTCCGTTCTCCCCTTACTACCCAATGTGTTGATTTGCCTTTTCCAGCTCATCCGAAGAAGATATTTCTCAGATAGTTTACCTGCACCGAACACTTGGTCAATTTCTCCAGTTTCAAATTCTGTACAGCGTCTTGACGAGGGTGTCAGTGACGACGACCAGTCATACAGCCATGGAAGGTACTTTCTTCAGAAAAATGCTTCTTTTCCCCCTTTGGCTTGCAAGTTGCAACTGTTTTTCCTTCTTCCAAACAAGTCTGTTGGGCTTTCTTGTTAATGAGAGGGTTTTTTTATCTTATAGCAAGATAATATCAATATTAGTAAGATTCTTGTCTGGTTTATCCATTTGTCTTCGGTCTCTTGATGCACTGAAAGAAACTTGCTGTTTTGGACATCATCTGCACCATTTTTAAGCTCTCAACACCTTAACCTTGGACAAGTCATTTTTTTTGACGCAGTTCTGGAAGTTTGATGGCTTGCTGCATTAGATTTGAATGGCGTTCACTTTGCTATTAGAACAGAGTAACTAAAAGTGGATGAAATGGCTTTTTGCCTTTTTTGTGGAAATCGTCCCCAAAGGATAGGTTTTGTGGATCTATTAGACACAAAATTAAAAGTTTAAGAACTTGTTAGACACGGCTCTAAACATTGCAAGCTAAATTTGTAGTTTACTGTTTAATTGATTACCAAAATGCAGAATTTCTTCTCTTACTTGCCCCATTAACGCTGGTTCATCGCTTATTATATTGATGTTCGAAGTAATTGCAGTATAATCAGCGAAACATACAAGTACAACGTGCTTCCCTCACTCCCAGCACAGCGCAATCTTACTCCGCCTCCGACGCTTTATCCCCAGCAGCCATTTTCGGTCTCTGAAAACTACAGCCTTCCAAAATTTGCTCTTTCAGCCTCCCAGGAGATGAACAATTCTACCAGATCGAAGCGCTCGGATATAAACGTATGATCGATCAACGACAAGCTCGGGTGATGGAAATGGCTGTGGCACAGTATAAATATACCTGTATGGGTTGTTTGCAGTTTGGAGGATATAAAATCAGTTCATTAATTCTTTCATGGCTTCAGGGTTAAGTCTCTGTTAGTGGTGCTTGATTCACAGTATGTTGAATGAATATGCTATAAAACAAACTACAGCCCATTCTTTCCAATCAAAACTGTTTTTTCACTTCCACTACAGAATTGCTTTTATTATGATTGGACTTGCTTTTGTTTTTGTCTAAATTTAGTGGCTTAGTGGAGTTGTAGTCTTACTTAGGAAGAAAGTACTTTAAGTTTTATTTAGAATTACATAATAAGATTATATTTTGAAGAATTATCTTATTTGTATTCACATTCATGGAAATCTCTAATAGTTTGTTACGTATGAAGCAATACGACTACATTAAGAAGGATAATTGGGACCATCGACAGGCAGAGTCGGCCCAAGACACGTGAGGCCGGCCCGACAAAGGGTCGACTCCACCTTGGCGCCGCGGCGCCAACTCTTTCTCGGCCTTAAGTCGAGAAGGCACTCAATGCTCTCCTATTTCTCTCTCGGTCCCTGTTTCAAGTATGTGGCGTTCAGACCCCAAAGTCGAGCCTTGCTCCTGATCCTCTACCGATGCTGGAGGCATCCCGGCCCAAAGCACACGGATATCAAATATAGGGTTAGCATCCTGAGAAACCTTGAGGGCAAATCGACTATAAATAGGGAGGGGGTCACCCCTTGAAGGTAAGCCAAAACCACACACTCAAATGTCTTACTTGTTTAATGGTCTTTCCTCTTGCTAATTTAGGCATCGGAGCCAGTGTGACTGAGGTCACACCGGATTAGGAATTTTGTTTGATTTTGCAAGTATTTAGTCCTGAAGTATTCGAGTTGGTGCGTAGAACGGAGAGAACTGGTCTATCAGAATCACAACATCAACAAATTTCTACCATGCAAAAGAAGTTGGACTACAAAATCATAATATTATCTTTTATTATATCTTATATATTAAAATGTATTTAAATTATTTGAGTCATACTCAAAATTTAAATGAATAATTTATTATATCCACTAAAATGGTTATTCTTTTAAAATTTAAATATTGAAATAGACATTTTGAAGATTTAAGGAGCAAATTAATTATTTTTTTTTATTTTCTTTCTAGTTCAAATACTACCAGGGTCATTTTAAAATTTTAAAACTCAAAATAAAATAAAAAATTAATATTAAGATTTAAGAGAACAATAATCGAACAAAAAAAAATTATTACTCTATTTTGACGTTGATTCATTTTAGTCATTATTTTATTCATTTTAGCATCTGTACTTAAAATTTTTATTCATTTAGTATATTACTTTCAAGATGTTCGTTTTGACTCGTGTACTTTTCAAAAGTGAGCATTTTGGTCTTTAATTTTATTTTTAATTTTTTTCTATCATAATTCCAACGTGACACTATACTCAATATATTTCTTGAAATGTAACTATGATATTATATTAAAGGGTTTCTTGTATATATAGAATTTGTGCTAAAATTTTCACATAAGGATTGAATGGTTAGTTCTCTGAAATACAGGGACGAAAACAAACATGTTAAAAGTATATAGATCAAAATGAAACAAAGCAGAAAGTATAAGGATCAAAATAGTATTTTAACTTTATTTTTTTTCAATATATAACTATCAAAAATATTTTTATTTTTCGACTCTCAGAGGAAAAAAAAAAAAGCACACACAACAATTTAAATATAATTTAATGGCTAAGGCACCAATTTTTTTTCCCCACCCCACAACTTAAAGAAACAACTTCACCAAAGGATCAATTTCATGACTTTTCATGAATACCTAATACAAACTACAATATTACACTATTACGCAAGTAAGTTAACCACATGTTAATCGAAGTATAATTGAGTGGATAAGACACTCTATTACCATTTTAAAGGTCAATAGTTAGTCATCTATTTCTGCAATAGGTAAACCAAAAAATAATTAATTAATTAAAATAAAACCATATATATTATAAAAAAAGTTTTAAAAGATATGGGTTAAAAGACTTCGTCATTGTACTTTTGTTAAAACAACGATTTAGTTTCTATATTTTCAAATTAGTAATAATTTAGTCCATAGACTTTAGCATGGCAACCATTTAGTCCCTATATTTCAAAATTCCATCAAAAGTAAGTGTCAGTTTTGATTAATATAACGATCTAGTCTTTATAATTTATAAACACATTTGGTCCATCACCAGTTTATTGATCTACGTATATAAGAAATAAAGCAATAATTTGTAAATTCAAAGGCTGAATTGTTATAATTTAAAAAATAGGGACTAAATTGTTACGACGAAGAACATTGGGCCTGGGTTTGATAATTGAGTAGAGTGGGCCGGGATTGGAGAAGGGCCCAAAATCCAAGACCTARTATCTTATCACGATCACTACTTCGGTGCCGCGCAACGCACCCAGTTTGTTCGCTTTCTTGGTTCCCAGAAAAACCCTAGACCCTCTTCGCGCTCCAACTTCTCCACTTTTCTATGGCGAGGAAGCGAAAGCTCGACTCCGCCAAATCCACCGAGCCGGCCGAGCCTCCCAAGAAGCTCCAGCAGCAAGCTCAAGCTGCTGCTGCTGCTGCTGTGGAGGAGCCCAAGCCCCAGAACGATCCCGTCAAGCAACTGGTACCGGAGGATCTAGCGGAATACGAAGTGGTTGAAGAGGAAGATGACGGGGAGCAAGAGGACAACGAGGAAGAGGAGGAAGATGAAGATGACGACGAGGAAGACGAAGCCGATGGGAATGTCAATAACCATCTTCAGACCACCCCCAAGACATCCTCATCCTCGGCCGCTGCCGATGATGACGATGAACCCATTTTGAAGCTCTTGGAACCCTTCAGCAAGGACCAGCTGATCAATCTTCTTCGCGAAGCTGCGGAGAATCACGC